TCATTTGTTTTTCATTGTGCAATCCATGAACACCAATGTCCTATATATAGGTCAAGTTTAGATGCATGAAATAGTACCAAAAAATATGTGAAAAGGCACCAAGTTCAAAAACACCAACTGTCAAAAACTGCAAAAAAGGCCAGAATTTTGTACCATGCGACCCATGTGACTACATGGTCATCGCATGGTTCAATTTTTTTTTTCTTTTTACCGTTTCTTCTTCCCTCTACATTCCATTTTCATTTTATTAATATTGAACAATATATATATAACAATACTTTCATCTTCAGCGAATAGAGAACAGGGCAAAAGCAAGTCCCGCTATTCACTTTCCAAATTGTTGTAGCTCATTTACTTATTGACCTATATATTTTATTATTTTTGAAATACGATTTAAATTGAAAAATATGAAAATAAAATAAAAATATTTGATATGGATAGAGGAATTTGAGGCACAGACTATGTTTTTTAGTTACCATCCCATTTACTATTTTGGTCAGGGTAATGCGGGTCGGGTCTTACAAAATTTTATCATCCGTATCGTTCAAAGGCGAAATTATTAACGGATAAATTATTAACTTTCTAATTGGTTAAACATGAATTAAATATAAACATGTATTGGAGAGGGGAGCAGAAACTCAAAAGTGACTTCAACCCTAAAAGTGAAAAAGTCACATTACTTGTATAGGAAAACCTGTCCACGCTTTTTACAGGATGGCAATTTTTCATTGGGTTTGACAAAAAATCGAAAAACCCCACAACTAGATCCATTGGAAAACTGAGAAGTAATTTGATTCAGCTACCTGTTAAAGAATTATGTTTTATGAACATATCTTGAGCATGATTGTAATACTACTCTGAAATTCTGCGATAGGTAAGATGCTTTCCGAACACGCTATCCTCTTTCTAGCTTTCATAATGAACTTTGCATACCTTGCAGAACCTATGCCCTTGAATATGAAAAATGCCAAGAAATGGCTGCTGCTGCGCTGGCCTACAAATGCATGGAGATGGCTTACATGAGGGTAGTTTATGTTAGATATTTGTACTATAAATATAATATGCGAAAGAAATAATTAATTCAGATCAAGTGCCCAAATGGTGAAAAGTGTGAAATTTGTGTGGGAGGTCGGGGGTTCGAGTCGCACCTCACGCATTATATTAAAAGGTCTTTGATTGAGGCCTTAGGCTTAATTGATTCTAATAATAAATTATTATTTTTTAATCAATTACAAAATTATTTAATGGGTCAACTAACCAGTAAAATATGACAGTTTTTAACTGTTCAGTATTAACAACTCATTACCACTAACCATAAAAATTACAAATNTCTAGCTTTCATAATGAACTTTGCATACCTTGCAGAACCTATGCCCTTGAATATGAAAAATGCCAAGAAATGGCTGCTGCTGCGCTGGCCTACAAATGCATGGAGATGGCTTACATGAGGGTAGTTTATGTTAGATATTTGTACTATAAATATAATATGCGAAAGAAATAATTAATTCAGATCAAGTGCCCAAATGGTGAAAAGTGTGAAATTTGTGTGGGAGGTCGGGGGTTCGAGTCGCACCTCACGCATTATATTAAAAGGTCTTTGATTGAGGCCTTAGGCTTAATTGATTCTAATAATAAATTATTATTTTTTTATTGAAATTATTTAATGGGTCAACTAGCCAGTAAAATATGACAGTTTTTAACCGTTAGTATTAACAACTCATTACCACTAGCCATAAAAATTACAAATAATATTGGATCATGGTGAATGCAGTTACATGATTTTTATGCTTATATAAACACACATTTGGGCATTAAAAAATTACTACAAATACAAAATTGTATCTTCCTATTCAGTAAAATATTATACTCAATTTTACATATTTTTTGGAGTACACTTGAGGGTTATGAAAACCATTTGTGATTGCTGTACAATTAGTTTATTTGATCGTTGTATCTTGGAGGTGATTGTCCATAGAGGTCGCATTAGTTATCGACGAGCAATTTCGCTTTTGGACATCGTGCTGTCACGAGACTTGATCAATCGATAAGTTTTTATTTTTGCACTTTATTGTATTGCAACTAGTAATATTTCTAACAATGTAAAGCGAAATTACATTTTTAATTAGTTGCCATGTTTGTAGTAGATATATATGTTCCTAAACATTTTGAAAAGCCTGAATTATTTGATGGAAATAATTTTAAGACATGGCAAATGAAGTTGCGATTTTATTTGACAACTCTTAAAGTTGTTGATACTATTGAATCTGATAAACCTGTTTCTGAAATTGCTGATAAGCCCACTGATAAGGAAATATCAGATCTAGCTAATTGGGAACATAAGGATTATATGTGCAGAAACTATATTCTGAATGGCAGAACGTAGAGAGAGACCAGATTTGGAGACAAAGGTCAATCTTATTGAATGAAGTTCTAATAGTAAAAAAGTTGTTGGAAATTTTACCAAAAGTCAGAACTTTAAAGGCAAAATCAAGGGGAAGCAATCATAGGAAATAATAATCGGTCTAAGCCCCAATTTAAAAATAAAACTATCAGTGACTGTTTTGTTTGTAGTAAACCATGTCACTTTGCAAAGGATTGTCAAAATAGGAAAGAAAAAACTGTGAAGCATCTGGCATATGTAGTAGAAGATGGGAATATCTCGCTAGGGTGACAGAAGTCAATCTAGTAAGCAACATGACAGATTGGTGGGTAGAGTCTGGAGCTACAAAACACATTCGCTGTACAGGAGGTGCATTTTCTTCATTCACTCCTGCTAGTGATGGAGAATGCTTCCTCCTCCAAAATCGAGGAAAAATGAACTGTGACACTTAGATTTACTTCTGGAAATATCCTTAGTTTGAAGGCTGTCCTTTATGTATTTGATATTAGGAAAATTCTAGTGTCTGGATCTATTTTATTCAAAAAGGGATTTAAATTTGTATTTAAGAGTGGTCAAGTTGTACTTTATAAGGGTGGTATTTTTGTTGGGAAATGGTATGCAGATGAGAGTCTATTTAAACTAAATGTTTCTGTGATTAATAATAAAGCTTCTACTTCTTTTGTTTACTTGCTGGATTCTTATGATTTATGGCATGTTAGACTTGGACACGTTAACATAAATTCTATTATAAAATTAATGAGATTGGGAGACATTCCCAAAACTGATAAGTTTCCAAATACAAAATGTGAAACGTGTGTTGAATCTAAGTATGCTAGAAAACCATTTCCACGTGTTGATAGAACCACTTCAGTTTTAAGTTTAATATATTTTGATTTATGTGATTTAAAAGGATATGTTACTCGTGGTGAAAATAAATATTTTTTAACTTTCATTTGCGATTACTCTCGATATTGTTACATTTATCTTCTTAAGAGTAAGGATGAAAGTTATTCAAAATTTATTTCATATAAAACTAAAGTAGAAAATCCGTTAGACAAAAATATTAAAATTTTAAGATCTGATAGGGGAGGAGAATATACAGGTGAGTTTGATCAATTTTGTGTTGATAATGATATTATTCATGAGACTACTCCACCATATTCTCTCCAATCTAATGGTGTAGCTGAAATGAAAAATAGAATTCTAAAGGATATGGTCATTTCAATGCTAAACTCTTCTGGATTACCTTTTAACATGTGGGAGGAAGCTCTTCTTACTGCATGTTATATTCTTAACAGAATTTCCAATAAGAAAAACAATAAATCCCCTTGTGAATTGTGGAAATGTAGAATACCTTCATATAAATATCTTAAAGTGTGGAGGTGTCTAGCTAAGGCCTCTATTCCAGCACCTCAGAGAACTAAACTTGGTCCAAAAACTGTTGATTGTGTTTTCATAGGCTATGCTCTTCACAGTAATGCCTACAGATTTTTAGTCATTGACTCATCAAATATTTTGATTGAAAAGAACACAATTTTGAAACTAGAGATGCAGAATTTTTTTAAAAATAGATTCTCTTTTAAAGAAAAGTATGTAGGACCAAGCAGTTCTTTTAGTGTTCCTCCTAGTGTTAGAGAGGAGCCTACCGAATTAGAAGAAGCTGAAATTAAGAGAAGCAAAAGACCTAGGACTACTACTTCTTTTGGTCCTGACTTTCAAACCTACAATAGATGATGATCCTAGTACCTTTGATGAAGTTATGTCTTCGCCAGATTCTATATTTTGGAAAGAAGATATAAATAGTGAATATGATTCCATTATGTATAATAATACTTGGAAATTAGTAGACTTACCTCGAGGATGTAAAACCATTGGGTGTAGATGGATATTTAGGAAAAAGCTTAAACCCGAAAGTTCGATTGTTAAATTTAAAGCAAGATTTGTAGCTAAAGGCTATAAACAAAAAGAAGAAGTTGACTTTTTTGATAGGTATTCACCTGTTACTAGGATTACATCTATTAGGATGTTAATTAAGATTGTTTCATTGTATAATCTTACTATACATCAAATGGATGTCAACACTGCATTTTTATATGGAGATTTAGAAAAAGAAATTTATATGGACCAACCTAAGGGATTAGTGGTAGAAGGCCTTGATGATAAAGTATGTAGACTTAAAAAATCTCTTTATGGCCTTAAACAAGCCCCTAAGCAATGGCATGAAAAATTTGATACGATTTTTATATCTAATGGTTATGTGATAAATGAAGCTGATAAATGTATATATAGCAAATTTGTTATAATTGTGGTGTGATAATTTGCTTATATGTTGATGATATGCTGATAATGGGAACTAGTTCAGATGTGATTAATAAGACTAAACAATTTCTGAAAAAGCACTTCAAAATGAAAGATTTGGGTATTGATGAATTTATTCTAGGAATTAAAATAGTAACACATTTTGAAGGAATTACTTTAACCCAATCACATTATGTAGAAAAAGTGCTTAAGAAGTTTAACCAATACAATTGTATTCCTGCTAAAACACAGCTGTCATTTGAGAAAACATTCAGATCCTAGTGTTTCTGCTTTAGAATATGCTAGAGTGATCGGTAGTCTCATGTATCTCATGAACTGTACCAGACCTGATATAGCATATGTCATCGGTAGACTTAACATGTATACTAGTAATCCTAACAGTGAACTTTGGGGTGTTCTCATTCGAGTTTTGAGGTATTTGAGATACTCTTTAGATTGGGGAATACGTTATACTAGATTTACTGCTGTACTTGAGGGATATTGTGATGCTAATTGGATTTTCGATACCAATGAATGTAAATCTACAAATGGATATGTATTTACATTAGTAGGTCGTGCTGTATCTTGGAAATCTATTAAGCAAACCTGCATTATGAGATCTACTATGGAATTAGAGTTCATATCATTGGATAAGGCAGGTGAAAAGGCTGAATGGTTAAGGGATTTTCTTATGGATGTTCCTTTGTGGTCCAAACTACTTCCAGCTATCTATGTCCATTGTGATAGTTAAGCAGCTATTTCAAGAGCTAAATTCATCCTACAATGGAAATTCTAGACATATTTGTAGGAGGTACAATACTGTGCATCAGCCAGTTCAGAAAACATCGAAGGGGATGGGGCTAAAGCCTATTACAATCTAGATCAGCTATAATGGAAACCCAACCTTGCGATTGGAGATCCCATGGACAATGTTATTTATTAAGTCGAGATTTTGGAAAGAGGAATAAATGGGATGACAAAGTTATTGGAGTTGTCTGTGGGGACATTGAATTTATTCCAAACCCCTCCCTATGATGAATAGTACCAACTGTATTGATTAGAGGATAAGCAAATGCTCTTAATGCTTACTATTACTGATATTCAGTGGGGGTGTTTAGATACAGTGTACCCTTGATAGAAGCACCTATTTGAGTGTGGAAGTGGTGCCGCTTCCTATAGGAATTAAGGCTAATTCTCTAGAGCACTCAAATAAATCAGGAAAGTTCCCAGCCGAAATGAACACAACCGCGAGAACTCAATTATTTTTTAGAAGTCATGTGTGTGTTCTATTGTTTTAGTTTGCAACCATAATTGTGGAGTTTAAGACATAATTCACTCTACAGTTAGCAAACTCAATAGAATATACAAAGTCAATGTTCAAATCGATAGACACCTAAGCCTGCATGATTTCTATCGTACTCCAGAATAGTATTTATATTTATCTTATTTCTTTCATGTGGGGGATTGTTAGATATTTATACTATAAATACAATATGTAAAATAAATAATTAATTCAGATGAAGTGCCCAATTGGTGAAAAGTGTGAAATTTGTGTGGGAGGTCAGGGGTTCGAGTCACACTTCACGCATTATATTAAAATGTCTTTGATTGGGGCCTTAGGCTCTTGGGCTTAATTGATTCTAATAATAAATTATTATTTTTAATCATTTTCGAAATTATTTAATGAGTCAATTAGTCAGTAAAATATGACAGTTTTTAACTGTCCAATATTAACAATATATTATCACTAGCCATAAAAATTACAAATAATACTGAATTATGGTAGATGCAGTTACATCATTTTTCTGCCTGTATAAATACACATTTGAGCATTAAAAAATTACTACAAATACGGAACTGAATCTTCCTATTCAGTAAAATATTTTACTCAATTTTACATATTTTTTGGAGTAACTTGAGAGTTCTGAAAACCATTCGTGATTATTGTACAATTGGTTTATTTGATCGTTGTATCCTGAAGGTGATTATCCACAGAGGCCGCAGCAGTTATTGATGAACAATTTTGCTTTAGGATATTGTGTTGTCACGAGACTCGATCAGTCGATAAGTTTTTATTTCTGCACTTTGCTGTATTGCAACTAGTAATATTTCTAACAGTTTATGGCAACAATTCGAGTACATGTAGATTTTTACATGATTTGCAAACAAGTTTGCCATCAGCTCTGCAAAGTATGATCATATAATAGCATGTGAAGATAAGGTATTAGTTTCGTACTTTTTGTCATCTTCTTTTGCTGTATGGTTATTATCAACAGATGACTTGATCATTTTTGTTGTAGCACCTTGCTTAAAGCCCTTATCTATTGCTCCTTAACGGCTTTATTTTCCTGGCTTATCGGGCTATCACTTGGTGAATCACTTTCAAGAAAAGAATGATCCATCTCTCTCTCTCTCTCTCTCTCTCTCTCTCTCTCTCTCTCTCTCTCTCTCCCTTGCCCTCGCCCTCCCATCCTATCCTATCTTCAGATTATTGATAGACGATAGTGATCTTGTTGAAAATCTAGTTCTGTTTTACTTTGATAAAAGTTATCCTTAACTACCTTCGCTAATGCAATTTCGTTGATTTTATTTTTTTTACCTTGCATTAGTTGATTTATCTAAATTATTCTAAATGACTGTTTATGATGTCATATGTAGGTGAATCTCCATCATCTTCTGCATCTGGCATTGATAACTTGAACAATTTAATGGTGGATAAAGCTGTTTTGTCTAAAGGAAATGGTTCTCAAGCTGGGAATCATATTATAGTTCCTTGAAACCGCCCCAACCTTGTTTGGCTACTTGACTTCGTAAGTGGATGTTGATGTTTACGATATTTATTTCTTTTTTGCAATCCTTATTGGCATTTGATTTGAACAATTTGAGTGTCATATTAACTTTAGATGAAGGCAACTAGAGTTAATATAATTTGCTGAGGTACTTAGGTTCAATCTTCTTATTATGTTTCCTTGCGTTTTCAAGTGGCCTATAATGATAGATGCACAAATATTTTTTGCTTCCTATTGCTGGTGACAAATTTTATATTCTTTAGGATTACTGATAGATCTAGACTTCAATGTGTGTTTTGATGACATTATGTTTTATGGAAACAATGTGGTAAGAATCCCAAATGCGCTATCTCTCTTACAGGCTAAAGATGTGAATTCTGCAATGGAGGCCTCCAGAAGATGCTCAGAATAAAGAGGGTATCATTTCTGTTAAGAGGGTCATCGACTTCAGCTTTCAGAATGTAGAGGACCTTGTACATTTGGTACGACTTGCGTTTAAGGCCGTCAATTGTCAAGGTTTCAATGGCAATATAGAGTAGGCAACTATATATAATTGTCTTTCACTAGCATATTCTCTGTGTGAGCTGGCTTTGGACACACGTTGGAAGTTTGTGCCCAAGCACTTGCTGTTTGGGGAAGAAACATAACATTAATAGAGTGTTATGTTTCTGGAGGTTTACAAACATGAGATTGGTTCACCATTTTATGATATATTTTTGAACGTTCAGCTTCTTTAGCAAGATAAGAGCACAACATGCTCAAAATTTAGATTCAACGGCATGAGACATAGCAAGACATGGAATTTTTACATGTCTAAGGACAAGACTTGGAGTTTATGTGAACGTGTAGATTTGATTTTTGGGTTATATTTTATTTGGGTATATAGAGAATGAGAGTATTATAGAGATCTTGTTAAAATGTGAAATTATATGAAATTAGTGGAAGGTTATTCATGTCTTTTTTACTTCACTTCCACTCTTTTTTTTCATGTTACCATAGTATAAGTGCTGGGCTCGATTTCAATGGAAATTGGATTTTCAGATTTCCCAATTGAATCAATTTCTCTCTTCCGCCATTTTCTCCTTTTCAGTTGGAGTCTTCATTTACATTTCTACATGGTATCAGAGCAGATTGGCTCCTTCTGCCTGCAGATCTATTGATCTTTTCTTCTAATATCGATCAATTACTAATGGCGAATGAATCCAGTGTTTGTGCAGAGGCTCAAAATCAGTTTGAGCAGATGAATTCGTTCGTGGAGTCATCGCTGAAGATTCAGCTGGAGGAGATGTAGTCTCCATGATTAATCGTTTGGTGAGTGATCCAAGCAGTCCATACTTCCTTCATTATGGAGATAATACATGAATGCAGTTGATTTCGATCGTTCTTACAGAAGAAAATTATGCCACATGGAGTCGAGCAGCTACTATGGCGCTCAGCGTGAAGAATAAAGAAGGTTTCATTGATGGATCTATTGTAAAACCTTCTTAGGATGATCCTCTATTTACAGCTTGGAGGAGGTGCAATCATGTGGCATCGTCTTAGATCATTAATTCAATTCCTAAGGAACTTTATCCTAGTGTAATGCATAAGGACTCGGCGAGAGAAATAAAGATTGAATTGCATGATATGTACAGTCAAGGAAATGACCCTAGGATCTATAAACTGAAGAAGCAGATTGCTTCAATTTCTTAGGCGAACAACTTTGTCAATTCTTATTTTAATAAGCTGAAAGGACTTTGGGAAGAGTTAGAGAACTACAGATCTGGAGTTGAAAACATTGAATACAAGCGTGAGGATCAAATTATGCAATTTCTCATGGGATTGGATGATCAATTTGCTGGTGTTAGAGGTCAGATCCTACTGATGGATCCGTTACCTACGTTGAATAAAGCTTTTGCTTTTGTTGTGCAAGATGAAAGGCAAAAGAAGATAGTGGCTAATAGGCTAGGAACGCATGATGCCTCTGTTTTCGCAAGCAAAGCCATACAAAGGCCTTTTAACCAGATGTTCAATTTTACAAATCCTTCTCAGAGGCGAGAGAAACCTATTTGCAGTCATTGTGGGATGCCTGGCCATATCAAAGGCATATGTTATAGGTTCATTGGCTATCCTCCCAATCATAGAACTGGTTTCAATTCATCTACTGGTAAAGGAAAACCTCCTGTTGCCAATGCTGTAGGATAAGTATATCATGGTCAAACATCTCGTGGTGATGCCTCAGAAATAATGAATTCTCTGTCACATCTCACTATCACTACTAATCAGTGCCAACAGATATTGTCTATGTTGATGCCTCATTTACAAAGTCAGATTACCCGAATTCAACAGCCTCAGGATATGATTTCACCTCCTACCACAGATTCGATACATTTGCTCTCTCAAGTAATCAATTTCAGTCCAATGATGCACCAGTATCCAACACATGGATAATAGCTACTGGTGCTTCAGAACATATGGTGCATTCAGTCAAGTGTTTGGCAGCTGTAACTACTGTTATTGGTGCTTCGTGAAATTACCTAATGGTGACTCTGTTGCTATTAATCATATTGGAGAAGTGAAGTTGTCTCCTACTTTATGTCTCCAAAATGTGTTTGTTGTGCCATCCTTAAGTTTAACTTGATTTCAGTTAGTCAGTTGATACTTCAACACTAGTGTTATCTGATGTTTTTCAATGATTGTTGCTTCATTTAGGATCCTTCAATGTGGAAGATGATTGGGTAGGCAGACTTGAGCATGGACTATATCATTTCCAACCTCACTTGACCAACAATGTTCTGCATCCAAATCCTCATCAACTCAATTCTATGCCTAGTACTTCCAACATCAAAAAACCTGCTGTCATTCCTAATGATGTTACTCATTCTAGCTTTCCTTTTGATTGTAATAAGTCCATTCTTGTTTTTAATACCATTGATGGTAATGATATCAAAATGAATATTAATGTCTGGCACTATTGTTTGGGACACTTACCAGCTTCCAAACTCTCTACTCTAAATAAATCTATTCCTAATGTTGATATCAATGAGGATTTACACTGCATTTTCTGTCCACAAGACAAGCAGCATAGACTATCTTTTCCTACGAGTGACACTAAAGCTCCTAAATTGTTTGAAATCATTCATTGCGACATTTGGGGACCCTATTCTATCACTTCCTTAGACGGTTCAAAGTATTTCCTAACTATTGTTGATGATTATAGTAGGATGACATGGACCTAATCTCATGAGGAACAAGTCTCAAACTAGAACCTTTATTCAGTCATTTTATTACCTCATTCAAACTCATTTTCAATGCACCATAAACACCATCAGATCTGATAATGGCTTGGAGTTTCAAATGACTGACTTCTACCTTTCCAAGGGCATCATCCATCAGTTAACTTGTGTTGATACACCACAGCAGAATGGTGTAGTTGAAAGAAAGCACCAGCACTCGCTCAATGTTGCTCGAGCCCTCAAATTCCAAGTAAACATGCCCCATCGTTTTTGGGGAGATTGCATTCTAACTGTTAACTACATCATAAACAGAACCCCTACCAGTCTCATTGCCAACAAAACACCTTATAAAATCCTATTTCAGACAACACCCTTCTATATCCTTCTCAAGGTCTTTAAGTGTCTATGTTATGCCTCTACTTTAAAAAGGAACAGAACAAAATTTAACCCCAGGGTTGTTCCTTGCATCTTCCTTGCCTGTCCTTTTGGAATGAAAGCTTATAAGCTTTTCAATTTGAAAACCAATATGGTTTTCGTATCTAGAGATGTCTCCTCTTATGAAAACATCTTTCCTTTTCATCATCCGACTTCGTTTAATCTCTTATCAAAATCTGATATTTCCATTAAACACAACTTTATGTTATTTTCCATTAGACCTTATCTTGATATAGATGACTCTATTTCCAAACATGTCTCAGATACTCCTGATAGTTCTATTCTATCTCCCAATTCCCACAACTCACCTTTTCACCCTTCTGTTATATCTCCCATTGAAGACTTTACAAATAGCTCATATCCTAGTCATGCCTCACCACACATCAGAAAATCCTCAAGAGTCAAACGTGCTCCCTCATACTTGAAAAATTATCACTGTAGTCTCATATCTCAGATGTCTTCCCATTCAGATTCCATGAAGAAGGATAATGACTCTAGCAAACAATACCTCATTGAAGATTATTTGGCCTACAATTTGTTGTCTCCTCATCACAAAAATTATACATTGGCCCTGTCCACTGTCTTCGAGCCCAAGACCTTCACAGATGCATCTCAGCATCCTAATTGGGTTACAGCCATGGATGAGACTATAATGCCTTAGTTTCTAACAATACCTGGGATATTACACCTCTTCCTGATCACAAGACTCATGTTGCCTGCAAATGAGTTTTCAAGGTTAAAATGAATTCCAATGGTACAGAGGAAATGAGGAAAGCACGTCTAGTTGCCAAGGAATTTACTTAACAAGCGGGGCTGGATTATGAAGAAACTTTTTCCCCTATTACGAAGTTAGTTACTGTGAAGACAGTGTTGGCAGTTGCAGCTACTAAGCAGTGGCACCTTTATCAGTTGGATATCAACAATGCCTTCCTTTATGGTGAGTTGGCTGATGAGGTTTACATGATTATACCTCCAGGTTATGAGCAGTAGGGGGAGCAAGGTGAATGGCTGGTTTGTAAGCTAAACAAGTCAATTTATAGATTGAAACAAGCTTCGAGACAATGGAACATGAAGCTCAAATCCTATATTCTGTCACAAGGTTTCAGACAATCCAAGTCTAATCATTCGTTGTTTAGCAAGGCAAATGGCTGCTCATTTACCACTCTATTGATATATATGGATGATATAATACTTGGAGGAAATGATCTGACTTACATTAATCAGTTGAAGGATGAGTTGAATAAGCAATTCAAGCTTAAAGACTTAGGAATTCTGAAGTATTTCTTAGGTCTTAAAGTGGCAAGGAATTCAACTGGGATATCCATCTGCCAAAGGAAA